AGCATATCCGTTTTCAGAATGGGAAGGGGGAAAGGGAACAGAGAGTTTGGTCTGGAAGGTTTTAACCCTCCTCTGGAGGCTGGGAGGGGTGTATCGCAGCCCCCCTGAAGTGGAGAGGGGCTGCAATTCACCACCCCACCTTTCAGCACCAGCTGGGGGCGCTCACTCCTCTGCTTTTCCCCACCTCCCGGTCTGAAAACAGCAAGCACTGGCAGAGAGCAGGTCATTGGTATGGGAGCCCAGCTGCAGGCTCCCAGCCCCCAGCCAGATGCTCCTTCCTCCTGAAACCAACAGCGAACTTCTGTTTGGTCCGGGGTAACGCTGTAACTCAGGACGTTTTGCAGAAATCCTTCTGAGTTACAGCTGGGAGCTGCACGTCTGTCCGCACCCTACAAAAACGACTGAGCTCAGACCTGGTAGGCAGCCGAAACAACCCAGCAGGGGCCTGTCTCTACTGCTTCCCTCCAAGGCACGAGTCTGATCCGCCTGAAAATCCTGCCCTTCACTCCCACGTGCTGGGATGGGCCAGGGGCCACCTCCCGCGCGGGCCCATGCCAGGAGAGGCCGGGCAGGCACAGGCAGGGCAAAAGCCCGGCGAGGGGGAGGCTAGGCCCGCGGAGCACGCGGCTCTCGGCGTACCTGCCCACGGGTCCTGCGGCGCGAGCGGCCAATCGCGCACTCAGCGGCGCCGAACACACGTGCGTAGCTCCAACCGCCGCTCTCACATCCCGAGGCACACCAGCGACTCCCCGCCGGGCGGAAGCGGAAGTGGAAGCGCCGGGGCCGGAAGTGCGCGGAAGGGCCGAGCCCGAAGGCTGGGATGGGGCAGAGCGGTGGCCGGAGCCGGTGAGACGGGAGCGGGGGAGGAGCCCCGTGGGGGGAGCTCCTGGGACTGCGGACGCCCAATGCCCAGGGCTGGGGCTGCCCCGCTCGTTCCCTCGGCCTGGGCTGGCTGCCCCCGCCCCGCGGCTCCGTCTCCCAGCTCTTCCTTAAGGAGCTGTAAACTGGCTTCTTAGTAGCGTTGGGCGAAGGCGGGCCCGCCCCGGCTGTAACCGCCGTGAGAGCGCAGCGGCTGATGGCTTGGGACAAATCCAGTGGAAGCAGGGTGTCTTGTTCCCCCAGGGCGAGAGGGGCAGGTCCGGGAGAGCTTGTGTCACAGCGTCGGGCCTCTCGGACACGTGGCACATAAGGGACCTGTGCTCCCCGGGAAATGACAGCGAGTGCGATGTGGACAGATGTGCTTAGAAGTCACCTGAGTTTGGTTAATGCAGGGTAGCCCTGGGGGCAATTTCTAGTGGTTGGGGATAACGGCTTTGCTGGCACATTGGTAATTTGTAAGCCTCCCATTTTCTTTCCCAGTGGGAAGACCTTGGCTTTACCCCCACTTTATGGAAACAGGAAACTCCTTCCTAGCTTGCTCCTGTGGCCATATGGTGAAATTCGGGGGCATCTGACCCCCAAGTCTCTGGGCTTGGGCCTGCATGTAGGATGCCCATCAAATCTTTTGGAAACATCTGAAGCCCCAGGTGGGGGTGGAGGGTGTTTTTGCCAGCAGTAGGGCCACATGGTTCTTGAATGCCTCACGAATTTGGAATTGATTTGGCTTGGAATATGAAAGCTTTTCCTAAAAAAAAAAGAAAGACAGAAAAGCTCTTCTTGTGTTAAGGCACCAAGACGTTCTTTTTCAAAACGTGCCTCACTAAGATTCATGGTACGTCTTTCTGATAAAATCTAATTTGTATGCCTGTTCAAATCATGCGTGGTTACAATCCCATCTGCTTTGTAGCATACCTTGGGCAGATGCTCACTGTGTTAGGAAATACTGATTTTTAATAAACATGTTGATGTTTGTGCTATGCTCTTAGTGGCTAAAAGTTTTCCTTAAGTTGCCTACATGTCATGCTAAATTATGAGGAGCTCTGTTGCACTGGGGAGAGAGAAACTAATCATTGCATTGCATTATGTCTTTTAACCTATTTTTAAACTTGGTTTGCAGGAGGATGTAAGATGCATTTCTCTTAAGTATTTTTTGTCTTGTTTTGTTGTAGGTAATTAAATGGTGCTCTAGCATGGATGCTGTTGCTAGCCATAGTTGTCATCTTCTCCAGCAGCTACATGAACAGCGTATTCAAGGGCTTCTGTGTGACTGCATGTTGGTGGTAAAAGGAGTCTGCTTCAAAGCACATAAAAATGTATTAGCTGCTTTCAGTCAGTATTTCAGGTACTCCAACCTTTACTGAAGCAATAAACAGGGTACCATAAGTTGATGTCTGAGGAAAGAATTTTTCTGCTGGCTACTAAATAGCAATGTGGCAAACTTATCACAGTTTTAAGGGAAAAACTAGGAGGTCTTTGCTTGCTTGCTTGCACCTAATCTGCATTTTGTTTGCTTTAATTAAAATGTGTAATCATTCCATTTTATTTTTTAGATGATCATAATTAGGGGCTACCATGTTTTTTCATGTCCAGTGCATCCTGGCATATAATACAAACCTTGTTTTTTGAGAGGCAGAATGAAGAGAGAGAGAACTTTCCTTATAGTAGGTAACTGAATAGCAGTAGTTAGGGAGCTGAGGTTGTTCATTGTTCTGCTCCCTGTGCATTACAAATTTTACTCCGTTTCACTTGGTAAGGGGCAAAAACTGCTCTTACTATAGTTCCCTTATGTAGGGCACACTCCAGCTTCTAGCAAGCGTTTTTTGGGGGGAAAGTGCGTGCTGTGTGCAAGAAATGATGGTAAAGTCTTTGAGTTGCAATCATGATTTTGGTGCTTACAGTGATTAGCATAATGGGGCTTGAGTCTCTGGCTTTGGTCTGTTGCCAGTACTGTACTGCAAGTTGATGATAATAGTAAGACTACTTTCTAAAGGTCTGTGTGGGACACAGTGGGTTGACCAGGCCAGATATGGGATTTAGTGGCTGAGGCCTCCCAAGATTATCCAGTTTTGCTGTTTGTTAGTGTTAGAAAGAAAATTGATCTGGAAACCACTTTTCTTTTAAGTTTTTCAGAATCTATAGCCTAGATTTATATACTGAAATTTCTTAATCTGCTGGTCAGTCGATGCTTCCAGAATTTTTAAGTGAAATTAGTACATGCAGCAAGCTACATTTCAAGAGAAGTTTCTAGAGGTGCACTGATGCATCAATCCGATATGGGATTGGCACCAATATAAAGAAAATTTACCGTATCGGAAATCGGCCTGATGTGGCTGATAAATGTTCGTGTATGTGTGCAGCCGCAATGCAGCATGTAGGCAGCAACGAGTACAGCCCAGCAGCTTGGAGAGCTGCCTGCAGCTGGTAAATTTGGTGTGGTAGAAGGGGACGGGGGAGGGAAAGGGTGCGGGGGGGTACATCAAGGTTCCCATCGTGAGGGAGCAGTGGGGCTGGAGCAAGTGGTGCCCAGCCAGGGTGGGCACGAGACAGAACCACAGCTCATCCCAGGGGGGAGGGGATGTGGCTCCCGCTGCTGCGCACCACTCATCTGGGAGCTGCTGGTCCAGTGCTAGTCCGGGATTTCCCACCACTTGTCCAGGAGGGCAGGGGTGGGGGGACATGTGCCCCCAGATCTGCATGGGGCAGGATGGAGCAGACTGGGGCCAGGGTTTCTTGGGGCTATTCCCAGCCTGTCCCATGCAGATGCGAGAGCATGCCCCCAGCCCTCCATGCCTTCCCAGATGAGTGGTGGGAACCGCTGGATGAGCGGGCGAGTGCCAGACCAGTGGCGCACAGCAGGGGAAGGCCTCTCCCCATTGTGGCCCCTGGATCAGCTGTGGCTTCATCCCACACCTCCTTCACCCCAGCTGGGCAGTGCTTGCCCCAGCTCCACTCCTTCCTCACTGCGGGGGCCTTGATCTGCCCCCCCCACAACCCTTTCCTCTCCCTTTCTACCACACCAGAATTACCAGCTGCATACAGCTCTTCAAGCTGTTGGGCTGGTATTGAAAATTGGATCGGTATCGTCTGATATGCCTCCTTAAAAATCAGCTATTGGTATCAGCCCTAAAAATCTCCTGTCGGTGTACTGCTAAAAGTTTCCTTATCTGCCATAATCCTTGGGCTCTGTGTTTGTTCTTCTACTCTTCTTGCATCATCTCCAAAATGAATATGACAAATTTACATAAAATAATAACTCGGAGAAGATAGGATGAATAAGTAAATAAGGGAAAAGAAAGCTGAGGTCCAAATACTTTCTGCTGTTAGATAAATGCTGTTATAAGTTCTGAGATTTTCAAAGTAGCTTCATAGTTTCTAGGGTCAGAAGGGACCTGAGCAGATCATCTAGTCTGACCCCCTGTCATGGCAGGAAAGAGTACTGGGGTCAAATGACCCCAGTAAGGTGGTCATCCAACCTCCTCTTAAAAACCCCCAGGGTGGGAGCCTGCACCACCTCACTTGGAAGCTGGTTCCAGACCCTAGCCGCCCTGACCGTGAAGTAGTGCCTCCTGATGTCCAACTTAAACCTTCCCTCCGCCAGCTTGTGACC